TTCGAGTAATTGGCTCGGGGCGGTGCGTTGCGAAAATCTTTGTGCAGCCATTGCCCCCCCCCCCTCTCTGCGCGTTTGTACATACGGGTGCGGTAAGTATACATCAGGTGTGCGCTATTGTCGATTCCAGAAACGAAATTTCAAGCGCCAAAAGGGTCCGTCATTAGCGGTGAGGTATCGCGTACTTTTGTTAAATTACGGGGCTGATTGGTGTGTGTGCCATGGAACGTTATTTTCTTTCATTCTCTCGCGTACGAGTGTGGCTGAAGTACATACATATATACCTCATGTGCAGTTTCGAATACACAGTTAATTGGCCATCGTCATTCAAAGCCGCTTTTTTACGAGTCCACTCGTCAATCTTCATATTTTTGCAACCTTTGCTCCTTTCAACATTATTAAGTGTACGGATTTGACGTTGCACCGTGATCATGTTATATTATCTATGCTTTTCATCAAATATTCGCTCTTTTATTATATCCAACGGCAAAACGGGTGCAACGTATTTTGTCACAATTGATAAGTACCTAAAATATACTTGGATCGATTTTTTACCGATTGATGTTTCCTCTTTCCCCGCACTTACTCGGGACTGACAAAAGAAAAGAAAAAATAAAATCACCATGTACTCATTAGCACCCACCTGCATTAAAATAACAAACGCAAGTTATCATCATTGATTTTTCATCACGTGGTACTTGTCGATTAAAGCACGTAAAAGGAATGTTTTTACTATTTTTTTATCTAGCCCCGCTTGTTTGTGCTGGTAAAAGATTCCTCGAAACGAATTCTACGTACGCTTCGTTGTGATACCCAAGCTTTTATCGATCGACCGTATCACGGTTCGATCTCCGTTAGCCGATAAAACTCGGTAAAATCAAATCTAATCATCAATTGGGAAACTCGATACAATCTCACAGTGCACGACTACGTAGAACAAGTACTATCCAAAAAAACAGGAATAATTTACGCCTCATTTGTTTTTTTATCGTGGCACACCACTTTGAGAGACTTCGATCGTCAACAGCTCGAATTTTCGTGGTTTCTCGGAACAAGAAAGATATCAAGTAATAGAAAGAAAGAAAAAAAAAAAAAAAAAAAAAAAAAAAAAAAAAAAAAAAAANTTTTTTTTTTTTTCTTTCAGTTTTTACTCGCAATTACTGCACAATTTCGATATATGAAAAATGTATACAGGTACCCGTATAATGTGTATACACGTAAAACGCAAATTTACAGAGAAAAGAAGAAAACACCCGAGGTACAAACACACACACTCCATCAGCCGTAATAAAGAGCCAAGGGGAGCGGCACTTTTTCATTGTTCGCTCGTTCACCGGCACAAGTGTCTCACGCGGCAAACGAGACGAAAGGAGGAGAGGAAGAGCCGCGAGAGAAAGAGAGAGAGAGAGAGAGAGCTAGTCGAAAGCGGGGTGGGCGCGTGAGAAGAGCCGAGCGAGCGAGAGAGACGGGCCCGGGGGGCGAAAAAACGAAGGGGGTGGGGTGGGGGTGGTGGACCGGCTCATCTCCTCAAAATGATTCATAGCGTATGGTAATGCGCGTTCGGGCCACGGATGCGTGGGTGATCGACTTTGCGCCTCGGAAGGGGTGGAGGTTAAACGTATACGAGCCCACGCGTCGTTGCACGGGTCGTGCAGGGCCGCCGGACCCTTGGGTCCATGGGATGTGTATGCATGGGTACCTGCGAACGCGGAAGATACGTTTAAGTACGGGTAGGGGGGGTTGTGAGGAGGTGGGAGGTACAAAGGAGGAAGGAAGGAGAGTCGACGCATGCTGAAAAGAGCACGTGTCCTCGGGGAGTTGCATGGGCGTCATGCGGGGATCAGAGAGAGAGAGAGAGAGAGAGAACTTGGTGGTGGTTGGGTGGACGCGGCGCGGGGATTAAAAAAGTTGGGCTCCCTAATCGCCCGTTGTCGATCTCTTGGTGTTCCTTCGACGATCTATCTCGAGACCGGATGTGCTATTTCTTTGGATTCCTTCTTTTCTTTTCTTTTTTTTTTGTTTACATTAAAGTCCGCATGCTTAGTTTGGGAGTAACGTGTTGCAATAGTGTAAAGTTTAAAAAAATGAATATACTCCACATGGTTTACAATAAAAAAAAAAAAAAAATGCGGGTAATCGTGAAACGGTCGTTGTGTGGACACGTTTCGTTCGTTTGTTCTGCACTCACGCCTGTACCTCAGGCAAATCCATACTACTCCGTTTTTTTTTTTCTTTTTCCTTTACTTGAGATGGACCTCAAGGAGATAGCGGGTATACCGGTAAACAAGAGAAAGGAAAGGGTTTTACGAGAGATTTGGCCTGGGGCCCGTAAAATTCTTGCACACGGAGTGCCAATGTTTTTGTACGCGTGCATATACATTGAGGCCTCTCGAGGGGACCAGCTCGTAATACAAAAAAAAAAAAAAAAAAAAAAAAAAAAAAAAAAAAAAAAAAAAAAAAAAGCTTCGGTGAAAAGCTCAACACTCACCGTTTCTGGCACGTGGGCTCCAGGTTGATGGCTCTGCGCACGTCCACGTTGCTCGTCGTCAAACTCCTCCTGAGACAATCCAAGCTCCTGACAACGACCCCCGGCTCTGTTTTCACTAGTCCTTCAATTTTGACGACTAATCCGATCGTTTACCTCCTGCACTCGTTCTCGCACACCCGGTCCATACAGTACACCCAACCGAGCTTTTTCCAAAGCAGGACCAAATATCTGGATGTTAGTCAACCCTTTTATATCGTACGAGCAAAAGGATGGTGTATATACGGCAATAGACAAACTCAACCGAACGTACACGCACACGAGGAGGAGGAGAAAGGTGGAGCGCGCGAGGTGACGGCTCGACGCGGACTGAGGGGCCAAAGAAATCGGGTGTTTGAGCCATAGGAGCGCGCCAACCGTGTTGTGTATGCAGTATACACGTATAATGGAAAGTCGGGCCGCGCAAGCGCGAGGCTTCCCTCCTATTGGCCCGCGTTCGGCTGCTGCGAGGAGTGTATAAGCGCTCAGCAAGGAAGAAGGCGCGCGCCCGTGCCATTGAGGACGACCACGTGTGTGCGTGTGTGTGTATAGATACACGATAGAGCTTGCGAGCTTTTTGACAACGATCTTACTATTGTTTTTCTTTTCTCCCCCAAGCGAATACTGCTGGACAACACGTAAACGTGCAGTTTGACAGAGGCGATGGGACAATGTAATTGATGATGCAGTGTGCCCCAATGTAAAGAGCTTGCAAGAAAGAATAAGCTGTGGAAATCAAAACAGCCAAGCAGAGAGAAACGCGTGAAAAACAATATATGTATAAGCGTCAAGTGTCGAGGGCTCGACCGCGCTTCTTTGTTGCGGGGGGCATGCGAGGATAATGGAGAAAGAAAATGTAAAAGAAGAAGGAGCACGAATAAATGATTATTGGTATTCGGTGTGTGTGTACGTAAAGGGTTGTAAAGCGACGCCGAGCTGGCGCGGCTCTCGTTTTGATACATTTGGCCACCGGCTGCACCCAGACACATGGTGTGCTATATATACATATATACCCTCGCATCAGAGCTTCGGGCAAAGTTTGTAGCTCTGCGTCCGTATATGCATTTACATGCACTGTACACAGGTACTGTATAGAGGGAGGGGTGCGATGTACTTATTTGTTTCAGGTGCTCAGCTTGCAGTCGAGAGTATATAGGAACGCTGCGCTCGGTGAGCCTACGCATTTTGTTGTTTTCCCTCCGTTTTATTTTCCACATCGGCTTATCGGTGCCGTTGGAGCTTGCACCATTCGAATTCGATCTTATCTGCCACGCGATAAGATATAATACAAATATTCCGCGATGAGCGTTTCTTTTGTTTTTCCATTGTTGTTGTTTGTGGTGATTAAAAATTATTCTTGGTTCAATATTAGCTGTCTCTCTCTGCGTGGAGTGTCAAAAGAAATCAGAGAGAGAAGAACTCTGTGTGGACGAGGGACGCGTGGCTGGTACGAAACAAAAAAAAAAAAGGAAAATTGCGAGGAGATGGGCATAACAAAAAAGTTGGAATACAAACCATGAGAATTTATCGTATGCCTATATATGTTTATAAATAAATATACATGGAGGAGAGTAGCGTGGTGTTACACGCGGAGTGGAGAGGGAGAGAGAGAGAGAGAATGGGGGTAGCCCCGGGCAAAGACGGCCACGGCCAACAACATCGTTCGACGGCGCCTCGGGAGCCTTTCCAAGCCGATTCTCCGTGTGTAGTTGTAGGTATGTATATATACGTCGCCGTCGTCGTTGTCTCCTCTCTCGCTGCGGGCGAAAATCGACGGGCTTACCGGGCATTTCGTCAGGGACGAGTGACCCTCTTGGGCTTACGTGTACACGCGCAGAGAGACGGAGGTATATTGGCCGCATCTCTGCACAACCAAGTATATAACATGTGCCGAGCTACGCGGTTTTTTTTTTTTTTTTTTTTTTTTTTATAAAACGCATCGCGGTTACGAACAACCAAATCCATGTGGTGCTCTTTTGAACGAGAAAAACCAATGTAGCGTGCAAAACAATTGGATTGACAGTGCAATGACTCTCTATAATGTCGGATTATTGAAGTATCCCGTTCACCTGAAACAAAGAGAGTGACGAAATGAAACTAGGCCAAGAAACCGTCTATATAACCCTGGGTATAGAACATCGGCACGGTTACGTTTCGTGGCGAGCTCGTGCGCGCGCGATCGGCATCGTCACGTACATCCCGGTTTGATCGGCTACTAAACTCACGCAGGCAATCGTGAATCGAGTTGTTGCCGAAAGCCATCGTATACAGGCATTCACCGCTAGTCGGTGCTTTTTCGAGACTCGCGCCGAATCGTGAGCCGATCGGCTGTGGGAACGGACGATTGCGGGAGCCTAATATTTCGACTCACCGATACCCCCCTCGTTTTCATTCGGAAATAAGTAGGTGACCCGAGGAAAAGTGGGAATTTTGGGGCCTTTTTTTCCTCCGTAGGGGAGATAAAAACGCTTTAGGGTACAAGTATCGGTTGTATACATGTATTTCAATATTCTTTGGCTCGCCAAGCTCGTACACGAATAATTTTCACAGAGACCGCTCGGTTAGAGCAACGAGCGAAACATAAGTCTCAGCTCCTCGGCGTAGTCCTCGTCCTCCGGCTCGTCCACCGGAAAATAGTCCTCGTCTTCGTCCTCCTTAGTCCTGGTGGCCTTGCAGTCGTTCAAGTTCGGCAAGGGGCCGTTTTTGCAGTTCCTCTCCCAGCCGGGCCAGTGCTTGAGCCCCTCCATCTTGAAGATCTTGTCGGCGCATACGATGTCGTCCTGGATGTCGTCGTTGGCAAAGTCGTCGCATTTTTTCTGGCACTCGCCGCCGACGCGGTAACGGCTGCACCACTTGTCGCTGCTTATCTGGAAGACGCCGTACGAGTAGCTGGACTTGCTGCCCGGGCCCCGTATCAGCGAGGTGTTGAATTTGCTCTCGTGCTGCATCACGCAGACCAGGTGGGCGATGAACGACTTGTTGATCACCTTCGACCGGCGGAGCTCGCTCGCGGCGTCGCATTTTTTCAGGATGCGGGCCGAGCTTGGCTGCCGGGAGACGACGACGAGGAGACACCACGCCAGTGCTACCAGCCGCGCTGATCTTCCGACCGAGGGTCCCATGCTGGAAAAAAAAAAAATTAATTATGTTGACTATGTGTCACGTGGTCATCGGGATAGGAGGTTTCAAAGAGTAACTGTACATGTGGAATTCAGTTTTTCGTCAAGTCGAGCGTTGAAATCTACCTTTACCGTGATTAACTTGAAGCTTTTCGTTACGTCAATCCGAAATTTCTTTCGCTTACTTTACACATGTATATAAGAGTTAAGTTGAAGTCTAAGCTTTTTGCCACTCGACAGAGTTCACCCCATTATTATATCCCACGATATGCGTGTGTGAGGTACTTTTTTGAAAATTGACTTAAACTTTTCAATATAAAGTGTTGTAAACGCTTTAAACACATACTTAAGAAGAGATAAAAACTTTTCTTTTTTCAATTCAAACTACGTAAAAAAGGTGATATCTCATTTCCATCATCCATCAATGGTACCCTTATCGCGTACTTATACTTGTCAACGCAAGAGAACAAACTTATTATCTTCATTTTTTTACTATAAAACAAAAGACTTGACCAATATTGTGAAAAACCGAGTTAAACACTATATTCAAGTTAATGCTTTTCGTTTTTCAAGACTTCACTTGAAGTAACACACTTTCGAGATTTAGTTCATGAATTTAAATAGGTAAAAAACAACTAATTAATAACTTAATACTCATTTATTCAACCGTGCAAATGATATCGAGATAAACAACAACTGTTCTTTGTAGTGATAATTTCTACAACTATCGACACTTTAACTTGTCCTTTCTCTACGTACTCCTTACCGACTTGTCACTGGTGTATTATATTCAAATAATTTCAATAACCACTTGGCACTACTAAAATAAAAATTAGCACATCATACTTCACCGCTTTACAGAGTAAAAAAAAAAAAAAAATATATCTATTTCGACAAACAACTTACACGAAGCTCGCGTAATCACTGAAGTACGGAAGACGGTATCGCTTGGGCACTCTCGGCAGCAACAATCGTTATATACTCGCAGATTGAAAGTCTCTCATATAAGGCAAATCAATTTATACGCACCGATAAATCTGACAAATAATAAATTGTCTAACTTAGCAATATCCCCACTACCGCAAGTAGCAGAGAGAAAGGGGAAAGAGAGAGAGAGAGAGAGAAACTCGAGCTTTAATCTGCTCTGTTTTAACTTAGTCTTGTCAACTTTATAATTTTTTCAATATCTGCGTGATGCTGATTTGGATAATTGCGTACGTGCGATCAAATGGATACTTATAAAATTTATGATAAAATTTTGTTACTTACCAAGTACATAATATATTGTAAAAAAAATTATATCTAGTGAAACGTTGGTTAATTGCGCGGAAACTAAGTTGCAATCATCAATTATTAAAAACACACGTGTATACGTAATCGTACACATTAATTTAATCTCATCGATCCGACGCGAGATAAAAATCGCTTGGTTATCAACTACGATAAAATGCTTGTAAAGTCTAATTTTTTCTCAATACCGTATCTTCAATATCACCAGCACGTAAACTTGATAAGAATATTTTTCGTACGAATCGCAACAAGACCCAAAGAGCGAGGGTTTTGATTGTCGGAAAAAATCCAGAAACAAGCAAAAACCAGCGAAAAACCAACGTGATTACAAAGTGTTCGTAATGACGAAAAAAAAAAAAAAAAAAAAAATACATCTCTGAGGACTTCCCCCTCAAAGGTAAGCGTGTATCTATCTATCTCTCTCTCTTTTTCACTCGTTTATACGTATACAAAATTGTTTGCAAGCGCGAGAAGGAGACAGAGAAGAAAATAATGCGATGTTTTTCGTATCCTCCCGCGCTACATGTGCGAGTAAATTATATATACAGAGAGAAAATATAGCGGGCACAAGTTGCCCCGGGGGAGACAGAGAGAGAGAGACACAGTCCGCGAAAGCGAAGGAGGAGGAAGAAGAGAAATGAGGCTGCGGGGCTTCCACGTATACCTATAGGTATATTTTTAAGTGCGCACCTTTCCCTTTGTCCCCTTGAATTTGCGTGCATACGTACATTATTTTAATCATAGTTGTACAGGGCAGTGATGATTCACGTTAGGCTCTGAAACGTAGCTTTACCGTATAGAGTAGTTGAAAAAAAAAAAATGTTTTATACAACGCACAGTCAAAATCTCACTAATACTCTCGTAGCTATTTCGCGGGGGCGCTCATTTTCCCTCTGTCCCTTCCTCCTCCCCGTTTTCCAACAACCGCGAGAGCAACTGCTTCGGAGTGCATCCTTTCGTTTCGTACATAATATATACGACACAGAGAGGGATATACATACATCGCCAACACCACCGCCGTCGCGTAAATACGTGACTTTGAAGCGGGTCGCGTCGCAGCCGCGGGCGGAGGACACCCCTCCCGGATCCTCCTTCTTTTCCCCCTCCTCCGTGGCTCAAACACCCCCTTTTCATTTATCCCTCTTCTCTCCCGCCCCCCCACCTTTTTTTTGGTTCCATCGCACCGGTTACACAGAGCGAGTTTGGGTCCGTACCGTTATTGTTTTTACGAGTGTTTGCGCACGAAAGATATTGGGATTAACGGTGCTGCGGCTGCAGCGCAGGTCAGCTCGATTGTTTTCGCAGTACTGGGGTCTGCGGTCGCAAAGGAGATAAGAGATGCTCACTTATTCGCTAGTAATGGTGCGGGTAATTAAGTTACGCGGTGCGAGTTAAATAAGCTCGATTATGTATAGCTTCATCCCTTGTACATATGTACTCGTGGTCGTGGTCGATGGCCAGCAAAACTTCACTCTTTGATGAAATAGCGCGTAGGTGTACTGTTATTTACCCGTTGCACCGGCTATTAATTTTCTCTGCTCAAATACTGTGCCCGCATCATCATCATCATCATCCAGTTTAATTTAGTTGGGTGTTTGGGTTATTGGGGGGAAAAGCAATAACCACAAAAGCAGACAAGAGCTAAAAAAAAAGTGATTATCACAAAGGAATCATCTCGGAATAGTGTTTTTATGTTTTTCAACGGCCCAAAAACATACATACGTACATCGCTCGTTTCGTCACGAACTTTGTCGATCCCGCCGGCGCGCAAAATCGATGAACCGAGGCTTAATCGAGGAGAGCCGTTTCGACAGCCATCGATGACTTTTCGCGGCACCACCGTCCGACTCGACAATCATTTTTTATTTTACTGCTAATAATTCGAAAATTGCTGCTGACACTCGCACGCTTTTCTGCATTACTCTGCGCCCAGCCGATCGATAGTACTACTGAACGTTATGCAAATCGGTGGTGCCAGACAGCTATATCCCTCCGCGCGATTAATTTAGCTTGACTTTCACCCTTCGTACCGCTCCTTTCAACGCAATGTTCCCCCCATGCCTCCAATACTGCACGTAGATGTACACCGCAAATAAAGCAAGTATATTCGAGAGTTAAAACGGCCTATATGGAATATAGAAAAGACCGGTAATTAATATCCATTCATATACCGATACGCACATGATACCGGTATCCTTTGTCTCCCCCCCACCCCCTCCCTGCCATTTGTGCGTCGGTGGATAAGCCGGCCTTATTGAATTTTGCACGAGCATATTATACGTCCCTTTACTTACACCACTCGCCGGTATTGGTTGAGCAGCCGGGTATACGTTACTAATTACGATCTGGTGATTAATTAAGAGCCCGCGTATCTCGGTAGTCACCGGCTCGTCAGCCTCCCCTACACCCCTCTCTTTCTCTCTCTCCAGCACTCGCCAATGCTCCAACATGAGTATATATATAAGCTGTGATGAGCAAATGGATCGTGTTCCTTCCTTTTATCTTCTCTCTCTCTCTCTCTCTTTCTCCGGGCTCGAGTAGCCTGTAATTTCATACGCGCAGGAACTCGACTAGCTGCTACAATTTTTTTTTCTTTTTTTTTTCAAGGCAGCTGATGGTTTCTTTTTCAGAAGCTGAGCTTTTAAAGAGGCTCCGTTACGTTAGCTTTTGTTTTCTTTTTGTTGTTTGTACAGATACCAACAACTCGGCATACATTTAAAAGTTATTTTTACAAAAAAGTTCTCTTTTTTCCTATTTTTTTCTTTATCTTGTGGTTGAAAATAATAATAATATTAAAAAAAAAAAAAAAAAACAACCCATAGCCCTGTCACGCGAAGTTCATCCTTCGCGTACAGACCCTCTCGTGCGCCTCTCTTTCGTTACCCCCTCGCAGCGAAAACGTCGACCTAATAAGCGTACAGCGCTGCCATTGACGAAAAAAGAGGAGGCGGCTCTCGGGCTCTTTTAGCACACGTAGGTTCACGGATATGGGAGGAGGAGGATGATATGGGAGTTTGGGCCCTAAGCGCATCCCACGGCCATTTACTATGGGAGTCGATCGCGGGCCTTTCTTTCTCAAGGTATACTCTTTTTGTTTTCTTGTTCTCCCTCTCTCGTAATGCTCCTCTTTTTAGACTGATGCAAGCTTAAAAAGATTTTTCTCTCGAATAAATTTTTTTTTTTTTTTCTTTCAATTTTTACTCGCAATTACTGCACAATTTCGATATATGAAAAATGTATACAGGTACCCGTATAATGTGTATACACGTAAAACGCAAATTTACAGAGAAAAGAAGAAAACACCCGAGGTACAAACACACACACTCCATCAGCCGTAATAAAGAGCCAAGGGGAGCGGCACTTTTTCATTGTTCGCTCGTTCACCGGCACAAGTGTCTCACGCGGCAAACGAGACGAAAGGAGGAGAGGAAGAGCCGCGAGAGAAAGAGAGAGAGAGAGAGAGAGCTAGTCGAAAGCGGGGTGGGCGCGTGAGAAGAGCCGAGCGAGCGAGAGAGACGGGCCCGGGGGGCGAAAAAACGAAGGGGGTGGGGTGGNGCCAATCGATTTTTGGATTTATTTCTTTTACACACCAAATTGTGTAGTAAAGTAGAAAAAAATTTATAATTTTACAATTTTACAATTAAATAAACTTCAAGAAAAAATTTTTTTTGTACAACCAGATATTACTAACCCTTTTTTTCATAGTAAAATCATAGATGTTTTAAACTCTTATCAAATAAATAAAAGCCGCAATTCCATATACTTTTTTTTTGGTAAGAAAAATGCACAAAGTCAAAGAGGTAAGTAAATTTTTTTTATGGTTCTTATTATTATCATTATTATTATTTTTTACAGTAAATATAACATGATCATTGTATTATTTATCATAGAAACAGTTTTAATAATAAAAATGCGAATTTATAGTGTTGAGACAAATAGGTTCCATTCATTTTCTCAGTTTGACTCCAATTGCATTTTTTTATATACCATTTTTCCCGTTGGACTTGGCAAAATCATTCCGTGTCTTTGTCCTAAATAAATATAAAATAGTACAGTGGTAATTAATGAGTGCTTCTGTCATTTCCATTCAGCTCAAAGATGTACAAATGCAAATTTATCATGGGTAAGTTGTTATTTACTAGCACATGTGGGAGATTTAAATACTCAAGTTGACGTACGTACACGTATAGTATTGCAATCGATCGCGCAAAATTATTTAATTCGACGTCCTGTATACATACTGCATATGCACGTCCATACGTATATACCTGATGTGCGGTAAATATACGTGACTATTTGTTCAAAATAACAACGTGCGCGCGCTTCGATCGGACAGCAGATACCAAAATGCCAATAGAAATTATATGCTTGTACTGTTATCAAGCAATGCCTGCTGGGAGTAAAACGAACGAATACGTACAAAGAGGAGGAAAAAAAGAAAAAAAAAAAAAAAAAAAAAAAAAAAAAAAAAAAAAAAAAAAAAAAAAAAAAAAAAAAAGAAAGAAAGGGTGGCAGTAGGGGGTAGGGGAGAGAAGACGATGGGCCCCTAAGGCACCTTTGCGAGCAATAGGCTTGTTTTATACAGGCAGCCATTAAAACGGCCGGCATTGAAAAGGTCGTGAGAGAATCGCGAGAGTCGCTTCGTGTATGGGTGCGGATTGTTATTATGAATGCCCACAATGGCAAGGTGACGCTATTTCTTTTCCTCTCGCAACTTGCCTTTTCTTTCTCCACTTATCGCCCCCTCGTTCCTTGCGCACGTATAAATTACATGGTTTATTTGGCTCTTGATGGCAAGAGGTACTTTCGCACGTGATTTTGTTTACCAATTAAAAAACCCGAAAGGAGGTGTGAACAACAAAAAAAAAAAAAACAATCACTTTTGCATTTTGAAATTCATTTATTTTCACGATTTTTCGGATGCACCTACTTTTGTCTTTCAGACCCCACCTTAACATCCCGAAGTAAGTAGATAATGCTCGCATGAGGTCAGACGAATCAATCAAGTATATAATCATACACACGATTTCTCTCCACGTATCAGTCAAATACACATAGGCTATATACTCAAACCACACACTTACACACACACACATACACACACATATATGTATACTATAATATACCGAGATGTTGTACATATACATAGAAAAGTTAACCATATCGATGTTCATTTTCCTTTTTAGATACAGAGAAAAACGAGCAGTTTCCAGGAGAGATGGTTATGAGTATAGAGGACTTGAACGACGACTGCGTGATCGACATCCTGTCTTACTTGCCTGTCCTGGACCGACTTAGATCCTACAGAGGTTTGTACAAAGGGAATCACCATCTAAAAAAAAAAAAGCCAACAATGATGTAATCCCTTTGCCGTTGTAGTGTGCAAGCGCTGGAAGACACTGGGCGAGCTCTCGTGGCAAAAGACGAAAGCTCTGAGCTTGCGCCGTGACTTCTGGGGCCTGAGCAGCGAGAGCCGCTTCATAGTTAACCGCCACGTGCTCAAAAAGCTCCTCGAGATCTGCGGCCGATACTTGGTCCACGTGAGCTTGTCCAACGTCGTCCAAAAGAGCGGCCTCCCAGACACCAACGTTCGCGTCAAGTCGTGCAAGTTCGTCTTCACCCTGATCCGCGAGCTCTGCCCGAACGTGCGGTCCATCGACGCCGGCGAGCCGGTCCAAGACTGCACCCTCGAGTACGTGGCCTCGCACTACTCCGACCTCACGCACTTTGCCGTTCGCGAGGCCAAAAATTTCGAGCCCATCCTGGCCCTTCTCTTCAGCAACAACAGGAACTTGAGACACGTCCGGCTCGAGGGCTGCCGCATCAATGGCACCTGCCTCCTGGCTCTGAACCCCCAGGCGCTGCGGGAGTTTTACTTTGTCGACAATCAAGTCGGCGAACCCCAGCACCTCATAGACGTACGTTGCTCATTACCATTATTATATATCCCTTCCAACAAGTTTTACCGATTCGCCAACCCATCGCCAGTTGTATACCTACTCTTTGACCACATGCCTTCTGTGGGTTAGGGTTGCACGGGGATTCAATGTGATATTCTGCCCTACTTTTCAGGCACTGGAGGGCTTCAGAAACATCCGCATCTTGAACCTGACGCGGGTCGCCGTGGAGGACGACCAGGCGTGCATGGACCACGTTCTGGAGGCGGTTCGTCAAAACGCGGCGAGCGTCGAGCACCTGTACCTCAAGTTTTACGATAACCATAGGGAGTACATAGATCCCTCGTTCGTGGCTGAGTTCACAAACCTGGAGAAACTCCACATCGACGGGGACATCATCGTGAACGACAAGTTCCTCGCGATCGTCGCCGCCAACTGCACGAAGCTCAAGAGCTTACAGCTGTCCAGTGAGTTTTTCCTCCCCCCCCCTTCTGTATCCTTTTACTCCAGTTACGAGTGAACTCACCCCCCCTGGGTTTCAGATTCCACGTGCTTGACGGATGCTGGTATCGCGAGTATCGGAGGCTTGCCGGAGCTGCGGTGGCTGTCCTTGAACGCGCTCGAAGGTACAACCGACGGGGCCCTGGGTGGCTTGGTGAACCTGCGGCTCCTGGAAGTGCGGCGGTGTCCCAAAGTCGGGGTCGGCGGGTTGTCGAAGCTGTTGGGGTCGTCGCGGAGCATCGCGGCCCTCTGGTGCATATGCTGCGGCCGAGTGCCTGCGTCGGAGCTCCTCGAGGCGGCTTGGGACCCGACCGGCACGCCCCGAAACTTGGCCCTGAGAATCGACAACTCGGACAGCGAGGACTCGCCCTTCGTCACTGACGTCCAAACCCTGTTCGCTTCCGAGGACCGCGTGGTCAGGCGGGTCAGGCAGCTGTGCTACGAGTGCTTCAAGTCGCCCAGTGACGCCTGCGACGTTTGCTGCAACCTCGAGAACGAGTTCACCGTGCAGAGGACCTAAGCCTGGATGGTTTTCTTCATTTCCACTTTTTGCTACACTGCAGTTACCTTTTTCCTCTTCCAAGTGTTATTTGCGTGCATTCGAGGCCTGTTTATTTTATTTAAATGTTTCATTATATTATGTACTCGTAACACTTGATTACGGAAGACTGAAGTTGATTTATTTTTGCATCGTTGCGAGCAGCCACGTTAATAAAGGAAAAAGAAAAAAAAATATGGTCGAGTTGCTATAAATTGTCAATTGTAAGTCCCAACCGCGCTCTCCCAACCATCGAAGACACTTACCGACGAAATTCATCATTTGGCTCGAAGTGCCTTTTCTTCTCGCGCCTGACCGCGGGCTGACGAATGGAGCCATTTATTACGCATTATACAACAAAGAGAGAGAAGGGGTGGGCTCGTTGATTGACGTTTCGACACGAGCCACACACGGCGATTTTCTCGAGAGGGGCCCACGCTTTTCCGAGCTCCCTGTGACGCTCGTCTTTCACGGTTCTACGGTCCTCCCCGCGAGGGACGAAAAACGATTCCCTGTTATTCCCACATCGGCAGAGGACCGTCTTTTTACGAGCATCCATCCGAGTGTCAGTTCATTTTTTACGGCCACCCCTTAACAATTCTGCCCAATGAGCGGGAAAAAGCTTGGTGTCGTTTCTCGCTACTCCCGCTCGCTGCGCCTGCCAATTACATCGAGGTGCGATAATTTTTCCAGCCACTCTCGCACCTCGTAATGACTACGGTTGCCGAGAAAAATTATCTCGGTTTTTTCCTGATGCTTTCTGGTCAGCCGAGACGCGAGACGACCCCCTCTTATAGTGTTACTTTGCAGAAATTGTAAACAAGTTGGTTGGGCCGAGCAAAGAAGAAGAACACCTTGAGACCGATTGGTTTTCCGATGTAAAAAAAAGGGAAACCAACTCTTTTGTTTCTCTTGAAATGTTGACTACCGATTTTCCAAAATTTGCACTCTTGGTGGTTCCCCATTGCTCGAAAAACGTCATCGCAAACATCCATCCCCCCTGAATTAACCTCCGCGTTCCCACTTTGCGAGCTCCAAAACGAGGCCAATTGCCCCCCTCCGCCTCCTTCCCACGTTCGGCAATTTCAAGCCTCGCGAGCAAACGAGGAGCGCACGCTCGTACAAGCCCTCAGCCGACACGTATCGCTTCGATTTTCCCAATCGAACCCATCTCGCGCACACCCTCAAAACTCCACGTCTCGCGCGGGCCACTCTTCCGCACACAGCTGTGCACGTGTATACACGCGTATAGGTGAAAATCCAGCCGGAGGCGCTGCCGATTTTCCCGAGCATCGCGCGAAAACACACAGTTTCGCGCTCGTCCTCTCTCCCTCTTTATACCCATTTCCCATCAGCCACCCACTGCACCGCGAGCGCCAAATTGGCCCTTACGTATGTGTACGCGCGCTCATGCTTCGTACGGGTATATATACGTGCCACCCGCGGCGACCCTCGCGTATAAAATAATGCACGCGCACGCGTGACCCCACGGGACGCGGTGTAGCTGGTCGTGGGAGCCGATTAGAGATCCATCGCGGATTCGCGGTTTATACAGGTAGGTATACGTATAGGTGAATCCTTCTTTTTTGCCGGTGGCCCTGATTTCCTACCCTTCTTCTTCTCCATTGCGGGATGAGCGTGCAATCTTTGTGTGCTTCATGAATTTCGTGACGGCATAACTCGACGGTCCCATGTTACCCACGACTCGCCGAAAAATTGAATAAACCGTTCTAATCGACATGCTGATGAAGGGGGAAAAAAAAATCGGTTCCAACTGGTACTCTTTGTCGATGATCCGATGACGCGAGCGCGCCTCGGAAGGAGATAAAGGGACGGAATGACACGAGGCTCGGGTGGTGAGGAAAAAAAAAAGAGATGCCCGCGAGGAGAGACGTACGGATGGATGGCGGAGGGAAAAAGGGACGAGGGCGCCCGGGGCCAGCTCGGAGTTTGAAAACCAACGTAGGCCCTCGGGGTACTTTGGGCTATCTCTCTTGCGTACACGTGCGAGAGCTCTCCGGCCGTGTGTACCCCCCACTTCATTAATATTTCATTTCGTTACTTATCGTTGCTGCGGAGCCCCACGCTCTCTTTCTCATTCTGCCCGTTGAGGCCCGGCTTTGCCGCGGTGTGGAGCCTCGGGGCATCGTTACTGCCTCTTAGGAACAAGGAAGACAGACAGAGAGAAGAGGGACATAAAGAGCGCCGGAGAAACGAGGAGAGCCGAGGTGCCGATGGTAACTCGTATGGTAAAACAAATTTTGGGTCTTTTTTCATTTTTTTTTCCGGACAAACTCGTTTGAAGATTATATCTATTGTTGGTGCGGGCTAGGGATGAAAGTGTTGCTGGGACAGTTTCTATCGACATTAGTTTTTCTTTAACTACGGACTGATGCGGTTAATAGATCAGGATACTGTGCAATTCGTTTCAAATGGGCACCTGTTAAATGAAAATGTTTACAGGTAGAAGATATGCTTCCTCGTGTTTTGGTTATTTTGGAGCATAGATTTTTTCGAGCTTACACCTATCAATACTCCAGGTGATCTGATGTCACTTTGATTACGAGTAAAAAATCGGTAGCGCATCGATTTCGAGTTTAAAAAGATACTATTTCAGTTTGGTAAGCCAAAGTAAAGAAATCGTCTTAACTATAAAATCCAAATACGGATGTAAAATAGGTTTGTTAAACATTTTTGGCTACATATATTTGTATACTTTGAAACGCGTTACAATATTTACTTACAACACTTCTGATGAGAGTACGGGGCATATCATTGACAGTATAGATGATGCCGTTGATTCGCAACAATTGTGATAAAAGTAGCTCGAAAAGAATCCAAATCCGGTGAACGAATCAAAGTGTCACACCCAAGATGAATTATGGGGTCTATACATGCCTAAAGGATAATCGAGAGGGGACTGCTATGAAAAAAAAAAAAAAAAAAAAAAAAAAAAAAAAAACCGCGCCCGACAGCGATTGTCATTGCAAATTAANAAAAAAAAAAAAAAAAAAAAAAAAAAAAAAAAAAAAAAAAAAAAAAAAAAAAAAAAAAGATAAGCGGACGAATGTATGTGCGGGCCAAGGAAGAGGGACGTAAAGAAAACAGGGTGGGCGAAAAAAAAGAGGGACAAAAATAAAAGCAGATGATAAAAACGAAGGGAAGTTGGGTCCACCACTGCTGCCGTCCCCGAGGCGTGCATTGTTTCGCTGCCATAAGATACCCTTGGGCCTTTGCTTCTCCTCCATCCTGCCTCGTTCGCTGCTCTGGTTTGCCTTCAGTTACGTTTCTTCCCTCCTGTTCGTATCTCCGACACCCCCTCACTGTATCTCCCTCGACCTGAACCTTCATCAGTAAGTATATTACATGCACTCGAACTTCGTCGTCGTACTATTGACGTATGGCGTCTTTTTTGCGGCTTATTTTCCATAGCTATATGTAAGTACGACAAATTTTGAGCTACGCTACGCATCACAGGGAAAATTAATGAAGGACAATAATAAATACGCAGGATAGGGATGGGACAATAACACAAGAAAAGGACTACCCTTTTTTGATCATTAAAACCTGTTGCTTATGAATACTTTCCGATGAAGATTACCAGGTGTCATTTCCTATTCAAGGTTTAACCTAAAGTACCCATGAATAAAAAACAAATGGCAATATTACCTACCTTGTTGGGGATGTCATGGATCAACAGGTAGTGGAGGATGCGCCTGATCAATAAGCAATCAATTTTTGTTTGTTTGTTTAAGTAAATGTTTAATTTCAACGAACATTTGGAAGTTGGTAAATTAATGTAATTGTACTTAAAATGAAGTTCAGGATCATTTACTATTTAGTTATAAAGATGCAAGAAATAAATAAAACCCTCAGGTTGATCGATTGCGGTTGATTAGACGCATCCGCCACCTGTTGATCCATCGTTGGCCGAGTGCGATTTGCCATCTTATTAAAGCCTCCATTATATTTTGATTATAAACAAAATTTCTGATAAGGATTATAATATTGCTTTTGTTTTGTCTTCACAACTAATTTTTAATTGATGAACTTTTATTGGTATTTTATTTGCATAAAAACACCATTTTAACAACCATTTGTCGTCAATATATTTTTAATTAACCTCTTCTGTCCTCATCATCAATAATTCAATCTCATCAATATTTTAGTCCATAAAAAATAAACAAAAAACATTAACTCTACGGTTTCATAGATATGAATATACACTAACTACTCATATTTTTGTGTCCGTGACTTATTCTGCTATCTAACGGAGAAAAAAGGTACACGTGACATTTTCATAAAAATGAAGTTTTTCGTGCCAATCGATTTTTGGATTTATTTCTTTTACACACCAAATTGTGTAGTAAAGTAGAAAAAAATTTATAATTTTACAATTTTACAATTAAATAAACTTCAAGAA